CAACCGAGTGATTCTGTGATTCTGTGAAATGCAGATTACATGCCCATGGCATGCCTGACTAGCGACAGGAATAGATGCTCTGGTATATGGTAGTCAGATGTCTTCAGTATCGTATTTTCTAGAATTCTACCTGAAAATCAGCAAGATTTTCATTGGAGCCTGTAAATCTGATGCAGTAATGGCTCCATCAATTATAATGGCAAAATGTAAAATTCATTGTTTTCATGAGAATGTAGCACCAAAAGAGACTGTGAAGCTTCCTGATCTTAGCTGAGAAGCTTCAGCTATCACCCACTTCTGATCAGTCACTAAGAATGCTATCCAAACAGAGAAAAATAACAGCTTCTTAACTGATCATGAAAAGAAACAGTGACCATCAACCTTCCCAGAGAAGATAGAAAGGCATTAAAAATGCAGCTGAACACTACCTGTCCAGATACTGACAGGGGTCCTTGCCCATATATATAAGCATGTCATACATGGGTCAGATAAAGGAGTTGAAAGGAATCGGGTTTTGTGCTCAAGAATCAGAGACTTTGAGGGCATAATTCCAGTTCACTGAATAATTTCAGACCTCTCCATAGTCAGATAGGTTTAACACCATACAATGCTACAGACCATAAAGAGTATTTATCTATTTTCAAAATATGTTTCCTACCACACTTTGAGTTTAAGGCAGATGAAGTTCAGAGCATGCACAGTTGGAAACTGCTGCTTTTTCATTGGGAAAGTAACTGCTTGCACTGAACTGCCTATAGCAAGCCAAATAAGAGGCTAGAATGAAGGCAGGGAATCTAACTCCCTTCCTTCCTCATCTCAGAAAGTCCAGATCTGGAGAGTTCCTGAAGAGAGGCAGCAAGCATGAGATTTGTTTCCGAGAACAGAAACTTGAGAGCCAGAGCCACAACAACCGTTCAACCACAGCAGCTCCAGGCCATCTGAGCAGCAGCTCCAGTTTCATCCTCCTTCCAAAGCACAGCCACATTTGCTTCAGCATCACAGGAAAGGAGACCATTAGCTCACCAGTGTCAACTTTAAATTTACACAGACCAGGACAACCATTGCTGTCCTTTGGGAATCTACTTAATGGTCAAAACATCTATTGCATGTCCTTCTCTATGCACCAGATGCCGAGACTACAAGTGTTTGGTTGCTGGAAGAGAGAACAGACAGGTTCTCTGTCTCCCAACAAAAGCAGGAGCAGGTGACACAGTCAATACATTTATCCAGAGGCCTTCAGATCAATGAGATAACCTTTAGCACAATCCCAACACCTTCAGGGCTGGGAGATCCTTTATCAAAGGGAGCAAAAATCCATTCCTACCTTGCTCTGGTAATAAAGTTCCGAAAACCTTCAGGATTCACTCCCTCCTCCTCCTCCTCTTCCTGTTTCTTTTTTGATCGCTTCTGAACCATCTGCTCCGTTTCCTGTTAATAAGCAGTATCAGTAAGGGGCTCTATGTAGTTACTTTATGTTCCATGGCTCAGAGAAAACAAAAAACAATTCCAAGGGATCTAAGAAAAAAGAAAGTCAACTCCAAAGAGTCAAATTATAAGTATTTCACTGTGCAACAGAATGGATAAATATAGAAGGCCCCAGAGAGAGCATGCTAAGCGTACACTGAACTCCTCATTCCTCCACCTGACATAACTTATTAGAAGTGATTTGCTGAGAAGAAGTCAAGTCTTCACAAATACGTGCTGCTCCTTCATATATAGTCTTTGCTGAGACATAAAGGAAGTATGGAAGGAAAAACAATTTTAGAAATTATTCTATAAAGATAGTAAGTCCCCTTTCTACTTGTGCTGTTTCTGTCATAAATACAGAGTTCCTTAAAATAGCTGTTAGAGCATCTGTCCCAAAAAGAGATATTCAGGCAGAAAGAAGGACAAAAATACAAAATTATGTTAAAGAAAATCAATCAAGAAAGCCTGCTGAGGGCATCCAAATTTCCTATGTAAACTAGGAGTTCTCCTCTCGAGTTATTTTCTCTTGTCACGCAGCAAATTGCTGAGGGCTTCTCTACACACCAAAAATATACTGCTTTAGCAAAAGCAAAGACAGAAAAACAGTACAGCTTGTAGCAAATGTGCATTTATACACTAAAATATGCTGGAATAAAAGATGGTAAGCCTTTGTGAGTGAGAATGGGAGCGAGCTCTCGGATATAAATGACCTTTCTCTTTTACACCAGTAGAACTCACTGACACTAGAGGTTGTTTCGCTAGAAACATTTTTATTGATTAAAAAAAGATTACAGGCCTGTCTGAAATACCAATACCAGCACACAAGCTTTATCTGACCAAACTTGACCTCCACTGCACTGCTTCCTACTGCTACCCTGAGCATTCCCAGGACAAAAGGGTCAGATACATCTTTTCAAAGAGAATTCAATAGGAGGAAGACAAAGCCACTCTGGGATATGTCTCTACCCTTCAATAAAGCAAAAGTCTGGGTGATATGTGATCGCTTTTACTTAGCTTGCTGGAGGTAGTATTTTTTTCTTCCGTGCCATTACAGATGTATAATGGGTAATAGGAGTGGCCTACTAAATCTGAAGTTACAAGTCAGTGAAAGAAGTCTCTATGTTGGAATCAGACATCAAAAAACCTCATAGCCTAAGAGTCTCTCAATGGCTTAAACATGTATATCCTAAAACCTCAAGTGGTCTGTTCTCACTTGTTTTAACTGAGAAAATATGCTTATGAAATGATTTATTACCAGTTATGCAGCTTTATTTTGTGAATTTACTCAAGAGTTAGCAGAAAACTCTGATGTTTGAATACAATTTGAGTGGAAATTATACCCAAAGCAGCTGCGTTCTTCACTTACCGCAGAGCCACCCGAGTGTTTTGTGGTTACTCCTAACGCAGTAATTGAGTGAGCATTAGGCATACAAGGCACTCCCTGGAACAGATTTGGTTCAGTACCAACCTTGCTTCGACAGATCAGGTTACCAGATGTCAGTTCTGACACGGTGATGTGAGTGAACATCCTCTGCTAACGAGTGGGAGCTTGGAGGTCTGTGTGCAAACCAGTTGCCTCTAGAAGCAAAATTTAAACTACCCTTGTTCTAACACTAAAGAAATGCTAGAGGGCAAAAGAAAGGGAAAGCTGATCTTGCACAACAAGGATTAGCATGAAACCACTGCACTAAGAACAGCATCTTCTATATCTAAAGAGATGAAAATTATTTAAATTAGGACCTACTTCACCTTATTACTGAGCATGCAGAGTCCCATACTACAGATAGGTAGCAGTCCCTCAGTACACCAAACAAGTGCTAAAATACCTATTTCATACTGTTCTGTATATAAAAAAATTCTCTAAAGAAGTATCATAAAAATAGGGAGAAATGGGAAGAAGCATTGCAAAGCACCAGAACCCAGGACAAGCCAAAGAAAAAGCAAACTGCCAGTTAAATTCCACCTCATTTCAACATTTCTTTTTACTTTTATGCACGTGATTACCGGATTGCACGTATAATGGAGTGATACTGTTGCCTATCTGACAATTTGAAGAGTCAAACTACCATCACTGGATGCACACCTGCAAACAGAGCACGTTAATTACAGAACAGAGCCTTTAAAACAGCCTACTTGACTATGACAGCAGCCAGCAGGACATACTTTAGAAGAAGAGAACAGAAACCAACACAAGTGTCAAGAAAGAATTAGTCACCTTGTTATAACAGATTATGAACTCGCCCAGCTGGTGAGCCAGGATACGACGACGATCATTGAGTCCTAAACGGTGCCTGGGGTGCAGCATCCTCAAGGATTGCTGGAGATTGCTGGCAGCTCGCTTCAGAAAGCGTACGACAAGTTCCTGCAAGAGAGAGAGTTAACGATGGAGCAGCTGCAAGATGTGGGGAACAGGAGACCAGAGGTATTACAGCAGCTAATGACTGGCAAGAACTAAACACACAGTCCTGAGAAAATGAGCTGACAACCGGCAGGCAAAAGCATTCTGAAATGTGCCTTTTTAATATAGCCCTAAAAATCCAAGAGCGGGGAGAGAAGAATGATGGTGTCCCTGACCTGAGGTGGGTCAGGATTGGGAACACTTGAGGAGAGTTTGTCTGACAAGCACGGCAGGTGAAGAAAACGCAAAAACAAGCAGCAAAAAGCAGCAACAGCACAGAATAACCTGAAGTCCAATAACTTAGGAGAACAGTTTCAAAAAAGCACCTGTAATATGTAAAAGGCCTGTGGTGAAGTGTACTGACATAAAACCCTCTCAGCACTATCACAGAAAAGGGGATCTTGGTCAGATACCTCCACTACAGCAACGTAGCCCCATTTCATCACTTTTCATAGATGAATACTATTGCCACAGCCTCTCCACAGCAACAGCTGACTACATCTCCAGCCGTGTAATTCCAATCCTCCACCACGTCTGGTTGACCTCTGGTGGGGGAAACACATGGCCAGGCAGATCCTAAGGCGAGATGCATCCTGTGGGCGTTCTGAATCCTTTCTGTCTCCCCTCTGGATTTGCTTTTGGTTAGGAGCTCTGCTAATGCATAAATGAGCAGCCTCACAGCCAAACTATTGGATTTCACAGCTCGCCTCTCACTGCCATTACTCCAAGCTGGTTTGATCTGTTATTTTAAACATTATTTTTCACAGTACAGCAGACAAAGTGACTCTCAAAAAGCCAGTTTTAATTTCCACTTGGAAAGAGCAGGGGTAACTTTTTCCACTGAGTCGACTGATTATTCTTGACACACAATTTTATCTCAGAACTGCACTGGCTGTTTCCCTGCAACATGCATTCAGCATGAATACATCTAGATTTGCAGAAAGCTCAAGAGTCTACTGTACAAAGCCTTTTAGGAAGGTTTGCAAGGGGATCTGGGCTTGCTGCACTCTTTAAAATGTATGCACATAAAATATAGGGCCTTAAAATGCAGCCTAGAAAAATTCATCATATGATTTCTCAAAAAAAACCACAACACCTATGCTAACTTTGTCTCCTCAGTGAGTTTTACTTTTTTCCTCTATCTAGAATGCAAGAAAGGTTCCTAAGTGCAAATGCCTGCAAAGAGTAAAACAGTACACAGGAGGAAAGGCTTAACTGGGTACCTGTTCTATCTGAGCAGGTGTATGGTCTGTTAAACACAGCAGAAACAGGACAATGGCAAGTAACCTTAAAGAATCTTAGAAGAATTCAAAAGCAGGTAAGCTCAGAGATCAGTGAAGGAGAACCAGTGAAAGTCCTGAGCAGCTTGAAAGTCAACTACACGCCATGTCCAGAGTGTCTATCGCTGCTCAGATGTCAGTCAGTCGTCCTACCTTGTCTGTATATTAAAAATACAGCACTGGCAGCTGGACAAAGACAGACAACTACAATCTCAGTTGGACTTCAGTTCTTCCAAGGATGGGAACTGACCTCAAAACTCTCAAGGCAGATTACAGCTTGGATTCTCTGTCTGGCCAACACAAAGCTTCTTACCATTTGCTCATCCTCTTTGGCAGCCCAGGCAGGATTTTGGATCTGGTCACCAGCCTCCTTCATCAGTCGCAACTGAACGTGCTGTAGATAGGCAGAGAAAGCCCTGCGAGCTTGCACTTTGCTGTGGACCAAAAGAATCAGTCAGCTATCTTCAGAGCAGCGATGGAAAAAGTAACAGCAGTGAGACAGAGCTTATGGACCAAAGTATGGTCAGCCAGGACATCCTTGGTGCACAAATGCTGAAGCTCAAGGGAAGGAGGACCCCTTCACCCCACCAGGATTTTCAAGGAGACCTTCAGTTCACCAAGATGGGGTAGGTATTGCAGGAGATACAAAAGACAGCAGACATCCTCTAAGTTTTAAGTTAATCTCCAAAAATTGAATGCTTTTCTTGCCTTTTCACAGCCTTAGCTACTCTCCTCCAAAAGCAAATAACATGAACATCGGCAAAATTGTATTTTTCAACCAAATTCAAGGCTCTCTTGGGCCTCTGTCTTCACAAGCATTTTGAACACCACAACAACAGACCATAACATAAATAAAGGGCTTGGTACTGGTGCCAGAGTTGTAACAAAGCCTCTGCAACTCCCATTGGAAATAAAAGAAATCAATCTGTGAAAGTGAGCTCTTCCCCTACTGACCCAAGGACACAAGCCAACTTTCATTGAGCAAGGCAGCACTGAAGAATGAAAGAACCTCAGCAAAATCTGCCTTGCAGCTGGCTGAACACATCGGGAAGCTGCGAGCATGAACTGAGGAGAGGACTGGAGTAGGACTGGGAGGGACACATTGCTCCTCATTCCCTCACAGCGGTGGTCACTTCGGCGTATGCATCTCTTGTGAGAGAAACTGCGGGCATCTTTGCCCAATTTTGTTCGCTGTCATCTTGGCCTAAACCCTCTCCCCTAACATTCTGCTCTCCCAGTCTCCACTCTTCCTTGGAGTTTTCCCCATAGTCGCTACAAGCTGAAACCACTGAATTACCAAGCATTTATCCTTTTCTTTTCATAACGACATAGAAGCAGATGGGCTTTAGTGTCAGTGACAGATTCCCCTTCTATCACAGGCAACATCCTAACATTTTCTATAAAATTATCAAGATTCATCTTAAAAAAACCTACAGTTTTCAATCCATTACTTTCCTGGAATATTAGAATCATAGAATGGTTCAGGTTGAAGGGGAACTTAAAGCTCACCCAGTCCAACCCCTGCCATGGGCAGGGGCACCCCCCCCCCCCCCCAGGTGCTCCAAAGCCCCAAGCCCCATCCAACCTGACCTTGAACACTGCCAGGGAGGGGGCATCCACAGCTTCCCTGGGCAACCTGTGGCAGTGTCTCACCACCCTCACAGTAAAGAATATCCAGAATATCCTAATATCCAGTCTAAATCTCCCCTCTTCCAGTTTAAAACCATTCCCCCTTGTTCTATCACTACCTGCTCTTGTAAAAAGTCCCTCCCCAGCTTTTGTGCAGGACCCCTTCAGGAACTGGAAGATTGCAATACTGTTCTAATAATTAGGAACCTTCTTTTACTACCCAGGCTAACTTCATTCATGAGCAGTTTATATTTGCTTTTTCTTTCCCCAACATTGTCCTGTATCTTAAATAATTTCATCCCTGATGGGTCTCCTACCTTGAATGCATTGTTTAACAGCATTTACATCCTTCTGTAGTTCTCATTTTATTAGTGTGAACTATCCACATCTTTCGGTGTCTTCTAAGAAAGCACCCACAGTGGTGACATGATGAGACAAGCAGCTTTCATGTTTTCATGGTGTTTTCATGCATGCATGAGAAAGAGCTTTGCAAACCTCCTGTGATCAACAAGCACGCAAGATATTTTTCCTTATAATTAATTACCTCTTGATGAACACGCAGCTGACAGAATTTCTGCTGTAAACTATTAGTTCTTAAAAGGATACCCTTGCACTTTTTGCTACTGGATTTCATCCTAGTTATATTATTGTTATCCTTAAGGTCATCCAGTTCTTCCCATATTTATTCGATTACTTTTCTTAACTCCCAAACTTTCTCCATCAGCAAATTTCATTAGCACATTTCTACGTTTTGTGTCATTCTTGAAGTGATCACTAAAATCAGCCTCAGACTGATTCTTGAGGAACCTCACTACTTTTTTCCTACTTGTTCTCTGCTTCTTAGCAGAAATATTCTCAGATACTTCTATGGTCCTCATGACTCCATGTACATGAGTCCCTGAAATGTCATTAAAAACTCAGTCCAGAAATTCAGTCTTCCTGGTTTATATGTTCATAAATTTCATGAGCACCTTGTTACAGTGTTACAAAGAAATCATAAAACATAGTAGCACTTATAGAGATTGTTGAATCAATTTCTATAAGAATTGAAGTTAAAATAAAATACATTAAATGTATCTATGCATCTGCTTAATCATTTTGGTGCTTCTGGAAGACCATGCCAGGTTCAAAGAGGGACAAAGCAAATGATGAGTTCACAAGAGTCTCAAACCTAACTACCTAACTAGTACTAACTAACCAGTACTGCAGTAACTAAAACATTACAAAAATACCTGGTTACACTCCTGTCTTCCAGGGAACCCCAGAACACACAGTAGGCCGACCATGCCAGGCTCAAAGAGGGACTAAGTTGAGTTCACAAGAGTCTCAAACCTAACTACCTAACTAGTACTAACTAACCAGTACTGCAGTAACTAAAACATTACAAAAATACCTGGTTACACTCCTGTCTTCCAGGGAACCCCAGAACACACAGTAGGCCTTGTAACACCTCTGAGCTCTGTATGCTGCCATTCACCACACCTACCTCCTCTTCCCACAGGAGAACACTCTGAACCCTAACTAAGAACTAATACTCTACAAATCAGGCCACCATAGATCAGAAAAGGCTCTCCCCTGAGGGCTCTCTAGGGCTGCCAGGTTTGTTTTAGGTGTAACTCCAACATTCCCAGACCAGGAATCCAAGATTCATACCGGTAGGAATTAAGGACCCCCCTGTTATCAACATCAGCACAGTCATACAACTCTTTGCCTACACCTGATACCTCTGTGATTACAAAACAGGAAACTGAAGGAAGTCCTTGTATAACACTGCCTCTCCTCCAGTGCGTGGAATATTGAAACCTGAGGCCCCCAATGCAGGAACAAGTAACTCCCCTTTCTTTTTACTTCACTGGGAATGACACTGTTGGGGAAACAGGTTTCATTTGACTGTCACCTATTCACCAGTAACTCCCAATGTGTGGAAGGCAGAGAAATTGCCACATCAGGCCGACTAAAGGAGAGAGAGAAGTCCTACCACTGACAAAAACTGACTGGAACAGGCCGGGTTTCTTTTGGATGAAAATTTCATTACTTCAGCTCCTCTGCCTGTTGACCCCACATGCAAAGCTTTCACCAGTGACAGATCAGATGAGGCCAAGCCCAGCACAATCCTGGAACATGAAGTCACCACAAGCCTTACTCACTTCTGTGGGGAATCCCAGCAGTACTGGGTGCTGAGCAAGACTCTGCCAGGAACACCAGACAGAGCTTACGTTCTTGGCAGGAGGCAGTTCTATATATAGGGAGATGACAGCATTGCTATGATCATCCTCAGAACAGGTTTCAGAATCTTCCCTGTCATGACAGCAAATGTCCTTGCCACAAGAAGACATCAGAACAATCCACAAATCCATTTGATAATTTAAAAAACCTCTCAGAAGCTAAACTAAGAAAGTAACAAGAAGAAACAATTATTTTCTCTGCCTTCGGACATTTTTCACAGAAAACACAATGCTACTTATCTAGAAGATGTAAAATTCTCCTATACAGATATATATGATCACTTTTTTCTTGGCCTTCCTGTCCATCTGCAAATAGACGGTTTCACTACCCACATTTAAGGAGAGGATCATGCTTCTAAACATCAAGTAAGACCCTGGTTGGTGTCACTCTGTACAATCTCCTCCAGCAGCTCTCTTTTTTTCATGCAACAGAGCCATGCATCAGAGCCTACTCTGCTCCATACTGTCATACTCAACAGCAGGCAATGAGATCTTTCAGTAACTTGTCACTCAAATGACTTCCTATCTCACTCAAAGAGGGTGATAAGCAGAAATTATTATTAGAGATCAAAATTCTGTCACTAAAAGTAAAAGCACAAAAATGAGAAAACTAATTTCATGGAGAGGCAGCACTAAGGTGTTCCTACCCAACCTTTCCTGGATAGTTTAACATATGATTCTTTGGAAATGCAAAGAATGAAAAGATGAATTTCAGAATTCAATAGCAGGCATCCTGCCTTAAGAAAGGCAGGAATTTTGAGAAGTCTGAGTTGACCAAAGAACAGCTTACATCACCAGATTAAAGAATAGCAATGGAAACTACAGCTTATGCTTTATACTGATCCCACAGGTCAGGTAAACACCTGATCAGGTCAGGTAAACTGTCATCCTTTGTAACTATCTTCTTTCTGTGCACCTACAGCTAGACAAAAATCCACTCTTTCTCTAGGGTGATCTTATCTCCTTGTACTCATTCGTAACATGGCACTAAGTGTACATCTTCCATATCGTAACCAATATTAGGTGCTAGTCAAACCACGAGGCAATATGCAGAAATCTCTCACCTCAGGTTTCCATGCTTTTGAAGAACCTGCAGCAAGTTAAACTGAGATTCGGAGTCTGTTTTTTGAAGAAACGGCTCTCCTCCATCTCCAGTTTTCTTGTCAAGTGTTTTTGGCAATCCCTCCTTACAAGTAGTCTTCACCAAGTCAGAGAGCTCTGGCTTGCTTTTCACCTGGGTGTCCGAGAGAGAGCCAACAGTTTCATCCAGCTCTTCATCTTCATCTGCATCTGCATCCACCTCCTCCTCTTCCTCCTCACCTGCTGTGTCCGACCTGAGGCACAGCTTTGTGGGTTCTGACGTCCCTGTAGTAGAGAAATCACCTATGCTGGTTAAGAAAAAAAAGAAGAGAAGTAGGGAAGACTCTCCTGCTATTTATGACCTTTGGTTTACTTCTAAACTCTTCTGCTACACCACCATTTTAGAACACCATCTTAGGTATCGCTGCCCTTGATCATTCTTTCTGTCTTTCTATTTGTGTGTCAAACAGTTGAGAAGCCCATTTTTCCCAATATTAGGGAAGACAGACCAAGATTCTTGTCTTAGCAAATGAAAACAAAAAATCAAAGAACCAAAGGCATGTTCCTATATCTTATCCTAACTCTTACACATATACTGACATATATATGTATACTCATACTTGATGTATATACTCATTTTTTGTATTTTTGGGTGGCAGGAAAAACCAAAGCTACAAAAACTAATGTGCCAATAAAGATCACATACTCTAACATAGCACCAAAAATATTTTTACAACATACAATCTCTCCTATTGCAGGCAGCATCACATAGCCACTAGAAAGTGTTTAGCAAATGGCTTCAGGAACAGCCACTTGTGAGGATCATTCACCTCTGTATCCTTTTAAGTTTTTTCGCACATCGGCTTGGATAAGAAGGATTTCTCTCTTTCCAACAGCTCAGAGTCACTGCTGTGTAGGAGAACCAGCTTGGACCATCCCAAGTTTTCATCTTGCTCTGAAAAGCTGAAGGACTATAGAGGCACACATAGTGTTGAATTCTCGTACCCAAAATGCAACCACAAGCTCATCTTCAAGAAAATACTGATGCCCTTTAGTCACATACATGGGGACATGGAATAGTAAGAACGAAATTCTAGGCACTGAGAAGGCATGAAACTCAGAAGAGGAACAAAGTGAAAACTATTAACACTTGAAATGAAAACTACTGACTTCAGCCTGTGAATCCCTTCAGGGACCACAAAGGCCAGAACAACCCCATTCACACACATTTCAAAGTAAAGAGTCGTTGCTTTCTTGTTTTTGACTAGCTACTCATCTAAGACTCTAGCCACGCATACCTGATGATCTTTTCCGTGCTGCTCTAGCCTTGCGATGACATCTCCGGCGCTTCCGTAGCTCCAGTGAAACAAGTTTTCTCTCATAAAAGAGAGCATGAGAGTCTACAGCTTCCAGCCTCGTATCCAGCCTTTTGTTAAGATCTGCTCTGGGAAGCATAATACAGAGACATCCTCAATCTCCCTTTCTACTTCTCTCTCTGATGATACAAGAGACTTAGTAGATTAAATCTCTTCAAGAGACAGTTTTCCTGATACAGGGAAGCAATATTTATGATCAGCCTAACTTCGCTCTCTTTGAAGCCTGCAAATGTTTGAAGGGAGCATTGCAAATACTTTACAGAATATCATCTCTCAGAGCCCCAAAACACACTTAACTTGTGTCATGCTTTCATGACTGAGCAGCACCTGTCCATCATGCACCAGTTGAAGGCTCAATTAATGGGGAAAAGTGAATTGCAAGAGTACAAAACAATAGAGGGGAGTGGGAAGAGAGCATGGGGACCTGGGCCCAGTCTACTGAACCTTTTATGTAGACATCTTGTTCTTCACTGTTTGGTCAGAGATAAGAATTTTAACACAATCTACATGAAAAATGACAACCTTTCTACAAGTTCTGCCTAAACCAAGGGAGAAGTAGCCCTGCCAGGTTCCTTAAGGGAGACAAATGTAACTACTTTCTGCCAGCACACGAAGATCCAGCAAAGTGCTCTTTATGATACAAGTGGGAACATCCACAGAAAATTCCATTGCTCCATTTATCTTTTAGACCTAGCAAAGTCCAAAACCTTCATGCATTACAGGATCTTTTGAGAGAGCTCAGTGATGAGGCTTATCAATATGGAAGGAATGCCAAAGTAGGAACCCTAAAAGGAGAAATTTTAAGGTCCAATCCAACAATACTTGAGCTCTCCACATGCTAGGATGCTCTTTGCTCACTGTATTTAGTTTTCTCAAGTTAGTTTGATAGATTTCAGGTAGAAAAGGTGTCGAGCCAGGACTTGGAAGATGAAGCTGTGGAAATCTAAATTTAGAATAATCCTACCAAGTAGAAAATAGTTAATTAAGAAGCCATTTACCGGGATCTCCCAGCGATGAACTCTCTTTTCATCTTGCTCCTACAATGGGAAAAATGGCAAAAATTACCTTCCCTTCTGGATCACCAGCTGGATTAAAAAGTCTCTGAAGTCTTTCATGTGTACAATTAAAAGATCAAATTTATAGAATTCCTTGTCAGTTCTATCTTAAAGGAGAAAAGAAAAGGCTCCAAAAGAGGAAATCTGAGTAGCTGTTTTACAATTGAAGTTTTCATCTGTGTGGCTTAAACTGGAGAAGGTGTCATTTGGAGTTGCCCTCTAGACACATCCCCAAAAATACACAGCAAAAAAACCCTACTACATAGTGCTGATGCAGGAAGAGCTTCTGTAAATATTGCCTCCTCAGTCAGCAACCTATCTTTAGTCTGTAGTTACTTTATTGTGGATCTCAAGTTTGGACAAGAAAAAGCATTGAGAAGGAAGGGTGTTAAGCATGCAGTGAGAGATACTGCATGCAACTCTCAATGGGAATTCAGCTTAGCAGCATGAACTGCCAATTGCACCCAACCACAACCCAGAGGAAGAGGCATCAAATCATGCTTGCATAGATCAAGGGTTAGGGATACTAAACCTCTGGAGTAAATTTCAGTGCTTACCTTGCATGAGGACAAGGTCTAATGTGAATTTAAATTTGAAACAAAAGGTAAGCAAGGACCACCTATAACCCCTTCACAGAGGAATCTAGGTGCCTGAAGGTTTATTACTTCTATAGTGATCTTTTTACTCCAATGACTCCTATGTTTTTGTGTATTTTCCTTTTTGCCCTTGGATTCAGAAGAACAACATGTGAAAACGTGAGAAACCTCTAGTCAATGGCACATTAGAGAAGAGGCGCACAACTATTACCACACCTGAAATCACAGGCTGGTGTCTATAACACTGGATAAGTGAGGAATCAATCCTTTACATGCCTTTTGTGCCCTTTGCCTCCCTCCCAAATAGAAAAGCTTCCTACCTGTCCTGAAACAGACGTGTAGCCAGCATGTAGTTCATTGATGTCTTGTGCTCTAAAAAGGATCTAGGAAAACAAAATACAGGATGTATCAAGATAGAGCTCAACACAATGAAAAGCAGCATAATTCAGCAATAAATGATCTATAAAAAACATCCCAGAAGTGGGTTGAGACAATATGCTGTATCTTAACAGAAAAGAGGAAGATGAGAGCTATCACTTCTCAGCTGAAGGCTCTGAGGTGAGGCAAGAGACACAGAGAAACATTACAGACTGGGAAAAAGACATCAGAAAACCGCAGTATAGTATCACTCATGGGATGAGTCCTATATATAGGACTGTGTTTATAGCCTAATGACAGCATACTCAGTATGTGCAGCTCTAGTATGTAAAAGCAGATAGCAGGAATAACTTATCTGAAGTGAAGACATTTTTATTCTGACCAAAAATCAACATCAGAAACAATGCCTGATAGCCTTCTCTGAGGTACAGTTAGGAAAAGCAGCAGCAGTCAAAAACAAGGGATCAGAAAAAGACATCGTCAACATTAAAAGAAACTACCAAAACTCTCAATGTGTGTCTTTCTGATTGCTAAGCTGGTTGTCAGACATATACCTAACACAGAATATGCCTCAACACAGAGTGTCAGTGCAACACTGAACCGTCCTATTGGATTCTTATTCTTACCCATAAAGATCCCATGTTAATGGGGTAGGGAATATCCGGATGAAGCCTCCTCTCCGTTCATTCTCCTCTCTCACTCGATGAAGAACTTTTATCTTGAAATAAAAAGAAAAAAAAATAGCCAGCAAAATACATACAATGAAAAATGAACTCTAGAAAAATCTGAGTTTCAAAGAACAAGGCCATTACTGTAGTCCTGGGAGTGAGCAGAGTACACACGATATCCTTAAGCACGTTTATCTTGCATTTACATTCTGAAGGAGTCTATCACTGCTCGGAGCACAGATGTATGCCTGCCATGACTGAGGGCAAGGGCAGTACCAGCAGTAAAACTCAGCAGTTGCGTTTCAAAAATTATCCATCTTCTGTCATGTCTTTCATATGCACACACTTGCTCTTTGCTGAGCAAATAACCCCACATATTGCATGAAAGCCAAGATAAACAGAAGGTATTTAATAGCCTACTTACCTCCTCCATGGAGAGACCTAGCACAGAGCTGCCTTGCCTTCCTGTTGCTTTTTCCCTGCCTGAGGGCATTGGGTTTTTAATTTCAGCATCACTGGCAGACATAGGACGGGTACGCTGTAGAGACAGTGTGAATGAAGTTTTTCCCCTTTTTCTCTCTCAATTTACTTTAATAAAAAAGTGATATTCAAATTCCAGGACCCCATTTTCCCAGCAGAATTCACAATTTCACACCCCAGCGAGCACCAAGTGTGAGTACTCACATTACTTGTTTTTAGCACAGCAGGACTCACAATTCAGGCATCAGTGCCAGTATTTACACCCTTGACCTCTTCCAGAAAAACATGAGACATACCCAAAAGCACCAAACCCAGGATTTCATAAAGAAAAATCCTCACCAAAGGGGCACTAGAATCAGCATTTACACTCACAGGCCCCAAAGTCACTTGGATTCACACCTCAGTGGTACCAGAACCATGGTTCTCTGTTCCAATTGCGTTGCTACACCAGAAGAACAGAACTATAATTCATCAGCAAGATAAAGTTGCAGGAAAATAATGAAAATTTCAGTTCACCACCTGTTATTCTTTAGCTACTATACTCCTGCATCTCAACTCGCTACTTCTTGTACTTAATGGACAGATCTTATACATGTACGTAGATACATCACGCACATTTAAAAGGTAAGAAAATAAATAATTTACAGACAGTCTCTCCAAGCTCATTCTTAACCTGATGGGCAGCCCTGATCTATTCTAACAAGGGACAGGAATTCAAAGTGTCTTCAAATCAGGGGGATTATTAAATCTTAAAATCCCAGCAAGACTGAAATCTTTGCACATGTTTTCAAGTGCATGTTAGCTGATCTTATGCCCAGTTCAGATAAACTATCTCTGTAAAAATAGCATTAAAAGAGTCTGGCTGAGAAGGTCTCATGCCTTTATACAAAACTCAGATTTTCTTTTAGTACTATACTGAGCAAAGAATGCACAGAGCCTCCTTAATCGAGAAAGGACAGAAAAACATAACAGAAACCTTAAGCTGGATGAGCCGAGGTGAATATCCCATATTGCTCAGATACAAACAAAACTCAGGGCAAGATCAGTTTGTGTCTTTATTTGTAAAGTCTATTGGAATTGAAATCCATTTTCCGTTTCATCAGAGAATTGCAAGCGGCTATTCAGAATCTGCAGATGAAGCAATTGTAAAAGCAGCAGGCATTGCATTAGAATGGGTTACACTGCAGTGACTGGCACAGAAAGAGCCAAAGAGAAAACAGATATAGCAGGTGCCAGCTGAAACATTTTGCTAAGCCTAAAGAAAAGTGATTAAAGAAAAAAGAGAAAACAAGGCGATCTGATTGAGAAGGTAGAAGACACAAGCATCTGCAGAAGAAATAAAAATGTCAGCAGCCAAACAGGTTTGCTTGATGCTGTAGATGGCATTAAGTTGAAAAGCTTTTAGACTTTCTTCCTAAGCTTTCCTCCATTTCAAAAGCACAGCTCAACAACTTCACTTAATAACTTCCTCTAAAATCTCCTGCTAGGTAACCTCCTCTTAAAATACATTTCCTGACACTGCCATAGCAATCATCATGTGAGAACTGCTGCTCAAAGAGAATATTACAGGTAGCTTTTCATCCTATCAGATGGTCTCCTTTACTAAGGAAATACTTCAGTGAAATCAACTCCATTGTCTCGATAACAATGGAGATGACTTCACTGATTACAAACAGAAAACAGAACATCTACATTGTATTGGCAGCTCCAGCTCCTACGACTGCTGAAGCTCTGGCTCCTGCCTGAGAACAAACTACACTACTGTCAAAATGCTAGAGAAAAACTCCAACTTTACTGATCTTCCTGCACAAACACTTTTGTCAGTGTTTCACTGTGGAATTCTCTTTGGCTGTAGCACAGAAATGTCTCCAGCTTCACAAAGATCTTGTTTCCTCTTTGACCCAGCTTATCTTTGAAAGTATAGATAAATCCAACCACTTTGTTTTATCTCCAAATTCTGCAAGAATCTCTGGTTCCCACATCATGATTCTAATTATACTAAGCACTGACAGCAGTTGGCACGAAGATCCTTCCTATTCTCTATGAAACCTCATTATTCATTAAGACTCTTTTCTCTTAACCTCAGCTAAACTTAACAACATCAATGGCAGCACAGAATGAATCAGGTTCTCAAGATTATCCCATCCGTCCTACCTTCCTTCCTGCTGGGAAACCTCAAAAAAATGAGGATCATCGCTATGACATTCGTGCATGAGGCCCAGCAGCAAAATAATGCCTACTGTGTCCCCACAGAGCCAGGTGTCAAGAACTGTAAATTAACATTGATTTGTCTGTATGGCTGGCAAGGAGGGTGCCAAACATGACTTTTAGAAAGGTGGATCAGTCTGACTTATGCTAACAATAGTTCTACATTTTTTCATTAGCTAAGAAATTCTTCTTATCTCTGTATCTATTTTGACCCAGTTTACTCTCAAATTTGTGCAGTTTCCTTCAGATGACTCTCACAGAAGATAACCACTTCTCTTGTGGTGTCACCTGAACTCTGTCAAAAGAGATTCACCAGTGCTATCCTTTTCATTTACACTTATTCCATACCCAGTAGTACACAAGACAAAGTCCTCCTCCTCTCTCTTGTGGTGTGACTCTCCTATTTGCTGCTGCTTTCAGCAGCTCTTACTTTATTTTCACACTTTCCTTTTCAATGGCCAACCAAGCCCAGAACCCTGTGCTGCTGCTGTCTTCATCATCTGATGCCCAGAGTGACAACTTTATCTTTAAACATCTGTATCAAGTTTCTTTAAAATACAGTTCAGAAATATCTGTAGGCATAAAAACTTTGAGGGTTTTGACCCAGCTGACCTTGACTCTCAGCACACCTCACCTACTTTTTTTTCAAGCTGTTAGAACTGATGTAAATGTTTTTCCAACCTTCGCTCTTGCCACACAGAACCATAGGCCAGTGCCTATCCATCTCCTCTTTTCCCATTGTCTTTCCCACCCTACCAGGCTACTTAGCTGCAAAATACGTTTTGGGACCAATTGCACTGAAGGTATTGTAAAAAGTAATATTTGAAATTGTGTTCCTCGTGTTGGTGAAGGGAGCTGAAGGGTACTTACCAATCTGGTGTTTGCTGTTTGTGACTGCGCAGACACGGGACGCTGCAAGACACACACAAAAAGAATAAAAACTTTGTGATCTCCAAGACAGTACCCTAAAGCAAAAGGATATAACTGAAGTTCAGAGATACAGCTAACAGCTCCTGTCATCTCAGTTCAGAACTTCCTCGTATCGTCCACAAATGCATCCTGTCCCCATTCCAAACACAGCACTACTCCTGATCTCAGATGTGCTCAGCTGTGCAGAATGCATCTGGACATACACACCATTTCCAAAAGCACACAGAAAAGAGCTCTGCAGAATGAATGAATGAACTCAACTCTCATGACCCAAATTCATATTTTTGTAAGATAAGGGTTACCCAGAGGAAAACATTTAATAGCTGTGTATTAATGAGAATCAGATGCTGTCGAGTAGAATTGTTCATAGAATAAGGGGTGTAAAAAAATAGTAAAAATTCTGAAATTCCAGAAGCCATTTCATTTACATATCTCAGCAATAGCTGCAGAGTATCAGGTACACAGTCTGTCTATTTGCCTGAGAACAAATGCCTTTGTCCAAAGACAGAGGATCTCCCTGCCTTTTGTGAGTGCTCCATTTCCACAAATACTCATGGAATCCATCTTGTAGCCAAAATGAGATCGAGAACAATCGCCCTTCAGCATCACAGTGCAAAGAAAGCACCATCTCAGCAGAAAAGGCAAGGGACAGTCACAGCAAGCCGCATGAGGTCTCAGTCCAAGGATCCACAGGAAAGAGTCAAGAGATTCCAGGAGTGAATGGGAAAGAAGCCTTAAAATTCAAATGCAAAAAGCTCTTTCTGCCTAGAAAGAGGTCTTGGAGACACCCATAAAGCTCTGTGGTTCTGGAGGCTTGTTGCCCACAACAAAACATGTCGCTGAACAGCCCATAGCTCAGGTGCATCCCCCGAGTCCCTTCTGTAGTTATGCCAGAAATCCAGATAACCTCACTCACTGGCTCTCTCACCTGTGAGCCACATCCAACGAGAATTATTTTCCTGGTATTCTCCTCAGCTCTGGCTTGTTGAAGTCACTTACCTGCAGCTTCTGGTATGGACTTCTCTTGACAGACTCAGATGAATGGTAAATGGCCCGGCTTGACCGCTGGCTTGGATCCTGGCACACGAAGCCTGTGGGCATCAGGAGCCACATTAGAACTTTAAGACAGGCAAACCCTGAAATATAAACCTAGCATTCCTGTTAATGATCTCAGACTATACATGACCTTCTTGTCCCTGCCCAAGGACCAAGGACCTTCCTTTGTTTAATCCTAAACTGCATTACATTTTTGGAATAAAACTAGAACATGCTTCAAAACCAAGTATTTAAATCAGTAAGATGGGTCACTGAATAGCAGAGAGATGGGCTCTGTTTCTTAACCAGCTGAAGAGGCTATCTGATGACAATTCTGCCTCTTTTAGTATTAGGGGTAAGTTGCATCAAGCAACTGAATCAGGATGTACTAGGGATGCCTAAAAGGTGCTGTGCATTAGAAAGTCAGGCAGCTTTCACAGTCATGACTCCACTGCTAACACAGCCTAACCAGAACTCACACATTCAACCTAAAAAAAATGCATGAATACTGATTCTGAGGGCTAAACAGAAGTCACCTGCTAAAGAGAAAGAATAGTGTCTTCAAATACCAAACTAGGGACTCTTAATACCACCTAAGCATCACAAACAGCCAGATAATTCTGCAGCTAAAATGTCCACACATGACTTCCCAGTGCTAAACGCAGTTCCTCTCTTTAACTAGAGTTTTCTCCTCTATTATACTTATCTAATAACATGCAGCTCATAAACCTACCTTTTCCAGGTTTTAAATGAGGGAAATTGAAGGAGCTTTTTGTTACACTCACCTACAAGAGTGAACATATCTGAGAGCATGCTAGCTTTGATCTTCAGGTCCAAAGGTGCATCACTATCCCCACGTGCAACAGAGGACAAAAGGAATTATGTGGCATTAAATGAGAGGAATGCATCAATATCCAAGACCTCTTCCAATATAGTTTCAAACACAGACATAATCAACATGGAAAGAAAACTAGGTGATCTTCACACACATAGGTAAACACAAAATCTATTAATAATCTTAGTTATTAATTACTCTATTAATTAATAATCTATGTTAAACTATTTCCACAGCTTTACTCTTCTAATGCAGCAACATATGGCCTTGCTTTAGCTCTGCTTGGCTTGAAACATTTTCTTTTAATGTATCTATGCTACATTTCATGGAGTAGATAGAGGCTGCTGTCGTAGAATTCTTAAAAACCACAATTACCTATGCTGCTTGCACATCAAATCATAAAATCAGATGGGTTAGTTCTAGTGGATGAGAACAAATGATTAGGGAAGGTGACAGATATGAAGAGATCAGACAGTGGAGACAGATGGAAAGCTTCCATCATTTTATCCAGTGGAAAAACCAATAAATACAGTTCAGATCAGACATGTAAAGTTTGATTCCTTTGGTGCAGAGAAATGAGCCATGTTCTACAGCACAGCAATAGATGCCAACAGCTTGGACAAAGAAATTGGCAATCATAACAAAGCAAAGCAAAAGATGCAGATGTGAGTTAAGAGTTTTAAGTAGTAAAGGATACTGTGGAAGTTAGGGTTATGAACAGTGTGTGAGAAAAAAAAATCTATGCAGGATAAAGGGAAGAAAAAAAATCAAGAGGAAGGTCAGATATGGCTATTCCAGGTACATATAACTTAAAGTTTGTTTATACCATCACAACTGAAATATTACTCTCAGTACTACACACGTGTATTGTGCATCTATGCTCCTGTAAAGTTCAGCATTAGTCCAGAAAACGCACAAAGTTGGAGATCTACAAAAATAAATCCTCAAGTTTCATTAGTGTATGAGGGCCAGCATAAGAGCCAAGACAACACTTGCTCTTCAGATTTTAGCTAAAGAGAGTACTAGATGAAAAATTCGAGCCCAGGATTACATCTGCATACTCAAGTTAATTATAATGCCTGAACTCTGCTTGGACTCCAAAATCTTAAAGTTCCTAGTCAGCCAAGCAGATTGAAACCCCACACAATAGTCGGGAGAGTTTCAAAATTCATCTGTGACGGGAGATTATGAAGTGTTAACAACAATGATGGACTGTGGAGGAAAAATAGTTTAAAAGAAAATGGAATCCCAATTGGGTTCTTTCAAAACCTATTGCTGCAGTAAGTTTGTTTATGCAAAAGGAAAGCAAAGGACTATCCTTTCTGTCAGCTCTTAGCAGTGGAACAAATACTCTGCAGGGATCATGAAATGGTGCCCTCCTAGGACCACAGGTTTCAAGGACACCATCTCCATCAACAGTCCCAGCCTCCCATTAAACTGAGCAACACTTACCAGGCCAGTGACGGGGACAGGTTCACTTCCAACAGCCAAGGCTTGAGAGTGTCATCAATAAGGACATCAAAACCATACAGCTCTGAAAACACAGTGGGCACTGTAAGTTTAACTTACTGCATTAAACATTCAGGTAAGGTCCAACTTTAGTCTCTATTGGGTCATTTCTATCCACATCATCTGTGTTAAATCCAGTGAGCTCTCTAGGGCTGAACAAATAATAACATTCCACAAGTAGGAAATTCCACTTCCTCAGAATCAAGCTGAAATACATCCCATTTGTGGGGGAAACAGGGGAGCAGAAAATGAGTCTTAGGAAAGTATCATACAGAAAAATAAACCCTCTGCTGTCCACAAACTGCAGTTCATGCAGAACTCTACTACTTTTCAAGTAGAATTGACACGAGCACAGCAGGTCCAATCTACTTCTCCCACTGGATCCTGGAAACAATAGAACTTCATTCTCCTTTTCACTTTTTAATTCCTATATTGACTTCTCCAGTTAGCTATGTAAAATTGTGCTTCTTTCAAGCATCAGCTTCTTTTCAATTATTCCTGTATGTTTTTCTGCAATATCCAGAAGGACAAGAGTCTTCTCCTCGGCAGCTCCATCTGCATGGACAGCCTCCCATAACTCTCTCTTATTGACAGCCTGCCACTTCACAGCAAACCACTATAGAAATAGATTTTCCTTTAGTTTCTAAAACATTCATAAGATATTACATCTGCTACATGTGTTCTGCTCTACACAGGTCACATTGAAGCCAGTTTCCCATTCCAAGACTGATTTTACTATTTCACTCTATACACACGTTCTCTCTAGTTTGGAAAGAGTTCCAAGAAGGATGCTACGCAAAGATGACTGTTGGCATTAATGCCATTTCCTCTTCCAGCATTAAGGAACACAGTTAATGATCATTAGGGCAACTTCTGCACATTTTTTCAAAACACTGCATAACAGGGTATTGGCAGAAAAGAAGGATTTCCATGGAATTAACCAGGTCTCGAGTGCCTGGAGTGAAAGCAGGAGAATTTCTTTGCCATGCTGCTTTCCTTGAATTCTGGCCTTGGTCTTTTGTTGCCTGCCTGACGTTGATGCTGGCTCCAGGGAGCTGGACTGCTTGACAAGACTGTCCTATGCAGACAGCTGTGTGAGAGCTCATGTAGCTTATAATGGGAAGTTGATGAGCTGTGGGGGGGACTTGAAAGGGGAGGAAATGGCAGCAGAGTGAGTATTGCCTGCTTATTTTTCTAGACTGTGTAGTCAGACATTGAGTGGGAAGCAAAACAGCTGAGAGTTAAGGAGTTGGTTCACTCCAAAGACATGAGGCTGAATCTACGTTTGGCTCTCTTGCTTTCCAGATGGGAAAGGCTGCAGAAGGAAAAGGAGGAGGTGGGGATTATAACTGTAAATACTAGCAAAGCATTTCAACCAGGAGAAACTCCTGATGATTTGAATACATTATTTCAAAATACAGTCTCAGGTTTGGTGAAGACCTGTGACTCCTAATGGCATAGCAAACTCCAGTGGACAGGCAGCTCATGCTTGAGGCAGACCAGCGATGAGTGGGCCTGTGGCAGCTGCTGGTCTGCGACCTCCCAGCCCCAGCCAGGAAGCAGAGCGCCTTGTTTTGACTAGCTGCTGTTTCTGCTGCTGCTGGCCATTCCCTCCCTCTGCCCTTCAAAGGACCTTTGCTAGTATTTTGGCTCCTCTTTGTCTTCTCCCACACTTTTCTCCCTTCCCAACCACTTGCTCTTTAAACCTCCCTCCTTCCCACCCAGTTACTCACTTCCTCTGTCCACTTTTACAAATATGTATGGGAAACCTCTTGACCTCAGCTACCCCTGACCATGCTGCTGATGCTTTACGCTCCTTGTCCCTGTGTCTGCCTGTTTATTAGAGCTGTAAGCTCTCTGGGGTATCCCTGCTGACTCAATTCCACTGAGGTCTCCTAGGAAGACTCCACTGCTGCTCCATAATACCCCAAGCCTCATGTACTCTAGATCATAGCTACAACCCCTAGACAGATGTCTCTGCTACCTTAGGGCATTAGGAGTTATGCAGTATCCATTTTCTGGCAACAGAATTAAGCCTCACAGGTTCCCACATAGGGCTTAGCACAACGGGGTTCTCAAGCCTGCCTGGCACAACCAGAAAACAATTTAGGTTTCAGCTAGCCTAGAAATATCTCCTTGGCCCTGTTCCACATTTGGAAAACGCACAATCTAGATTATACACAGAAGAAGCATCCTTTCTACTGTGAAACTCCACTACCGTTTTTAAAAAGAAATACACAGGCAGCACAAAGATGTAGACTCCTGTGAGCATAGCAAGATCAGAAGTATATTCTCTGCAGTTACCAACTCCAACAAGACTGCCATTTCCCTCTGCAGAGAGAAAAGAAAGCAGAATGACTGAAAGAGAAACACATGCAACGTAACTGTGGCAATGGTGGGTTTATGACAACTCACCTTGCAGCACTATTGTTATTAAGGGAAGACTAGAAGAAGCTAAAATATCAAGTTTCCACAGTGCCTTCCCCTTGCTCCCCTCCTCTTGCCTCCACAATCCACACGAACATGCTTCACCTTTGCGGTTTGCTAAAGAGACTGGAATTATATCGGGGGTCCCAGCTGTTGCCAAGGCTCAGCAGGAACAGCCTGCCTCTCCCCTCCAACCCCCACAGAGAAGTCACTGCTGACCAAGATTGCCAGTCACCCCAGGAGAAGGGGCAGCTTCAGACTAAATCCTAACAGCAACAGTTCGGCCAGTGATTATTTTTGCTAATATTATTTAAAAGTAAGAGGAAGGCTAGAGATACATGGTCTCGAGCATTTTGGTTCTGGTAAACCACTATGTAGTCAAACTTTGGTTTATAATCCTGCCAAAGACTGCACTGGCACACCCTTATAACAAAATATCCCCAAAGAATTTGCTATTCTCTGTAAGTCTAGAAACTAAGTCACAAGTCATAGCCTGGTAGCACAAACAATGTTTTCACGATTTTGCATAAAATGAATAAGCTCAGTTCCTAGAGGGTCACTGTAATTCTGGTCTTTGTATTCAGCTTGGTCACTAGGGAAAAAGAAGAGGCTCTACTTCCAAGTACATATTCTGAACTGAATGGAGGCAACTTAAGGCTATGAAAGGACACATATACACTGAAGAAAAAATAAAACCAAACAGCTGCATAGTATGCAACTCTTCAGCTTTCACAATAAAAACCAACTGTCTCATTTTAAGCAGGAGCATGTTTACAGACATCCCTAATACAAGGAACTACACCCGTGCCACTGAAATTTAAGTCTTCCCTTTTTCCTTATATAAAGGTACTGTGCAGACCGTGCTTGTGTGTATCAAGGAGCTTCAGCCCAAAGAGTTAACTGTGCTACAATTTCTTCCAAAGCAGCAACCAGTCAGTGCAAGGGAGAAAAGCTTCCAACACGACAGTGATGGACAGACTGCTTCGTTGAACATACTGCCAGACTGAGGCTTCAGAGACTACGTAGTATATAGTAAACAAACTCCATTACTTTATCTAGTGATGGTGCAGTACCTGCTTCAACTCTGGTAGAGCACACATCTTAACAGCTATGGGGACATGAACAAATCTGTGTCTTGGGGGCTATCACCGTCAGGTCCTAAACCATTGCTGTTACTCTACAAAAGGCCACCATAACAGTCTAGGCTTTGATAAGCAAAATGCCACACTGTCATACCAAGTAAGAGAATGGAAGTCTCTACTCTGGACAGCAAAGGCTTTGGAGAAAGTACTGGTGATGTAGTCTTGTGTAGAAATTTGCTTTGCACTTCAAATAATACAGCTTAACCCTCTTCTTTAGATACCTTTATCTTAACAGAGAAAGGCTTTATCTCTCAGTGTTATTATAGGAAAGGACCCAACAAGAGGGGACAGAATTATTCCAAATGTTGGTGTTCTTGTCTACTTCACAAGACACAGCCTGCACCTGCCAGTTTGCCATACTAGCTTGGCTAAATGTGTAATTACCTCACTTAGAGGCACTTTCTCCACTCCATGTAACCACAGAAAGTCCATCACTTATAAGACAACTTCTTAACTTTTTTTTCCTTCTACTCAAGTCTGAAGAACCCTTAGTCACATTTCTAATAAAAGTCTTCAGAAGTGGAGTAATTTCAAGGTGCCAACATAGAATCACAGAATAGCTCAAGTAAGAAGGGACCCATAAGAATCAAGTCCAAATCCCTGTGCCTCGCAGGACTGCCCAAAACTAAATCATATAACTAAAAGCATCATCCAGTTGCTCTTGAACTCTTGACCTGAAGAAACCTGTTCCAGTGACCGACCGCCCTCTCAGTGAAGAGCCTTTTCCTGATGTCCTATATGAACTTCTCTTGACACAGCTTTGCTCCATCTTCTTGTGTCACCAGAGAGAGGAGATCAGAACCCCCTCCACTGTCCCCCTTGAGGAAGTTGTAGACTGTGATGAAGTCACTCCTCAGTCTTCTCTTCTCCAAGCTGAACAAGCCAAGTGACCTCTGCTGCTCCTCGTAAGTCTTGCCCTCCAGACCTTTCACCATCTCGGTTGTCCTCCTACATAAACCACTACTTTCTTTGGTGACGAGAAGATTACAGTTGGGCTCATGACCTATACCAAAATCAGACTCAGAATCATCCTTCTACTCTGAAGTCAGAAAAAGCTAATAAGGCTGTCTTCGAGGCTAACATCTAAGAACAGGAGTCTTGGTGCAAATTAGGTTGCCTTTATAATCCAAATATTACAGGGTAAATAAATTATCAGTCACCCTTGATGGAGAAAGTTCTTCAATCCAGCATGTGAGATCATAGTGAGCAAAGAGGTTAACATCCCAATAACCACCTTTGGACATCACTTAACTTCCCTTATGTCACTGAGGAACAGAAGAGTAGATCTGTTGCTATTTGTTCTTCAACAGATTTAGGTGGCCAAATTAAGAAAATGTAGTGGTAAGTAGATCAAAATAAAAGCCAGCTGAGTCCATTCATACAGGGGTACATGAGCTGAAGGAGAGAGAGAATATTTTCTGACTTCATTAGCCCAAGTTCTTCTGATTTCAAGCCC